GAAACCAGGGAGAACATTTGGGCACGTTGGCTTGTGTCTTAACAAAATTAGGGACTATTGCAGCCGCATCTTTCTAAGCAGGTCACGAAGTATTTAACACATTATCTGTGCTTTTCGCTGTTGTTCCGAGCTGTTGCTGATGTGGTTTCTGACTGCAGAACTCCTGCTAGATGTCTTACACCACGTTAACATTTACTGCATGTAAACGTCTTTGACAAATTGTAAATATAATCTAATCAACGTTTTAGTCATTTTTGAGCCTGTGGTTCTGTTGTAAATGTGAGCAAATTAACCTCATGTTGATCTGATGAGATTTTTAGGATAACTCTCAGTGGTTTTAGGAATTATGCACACACACATTTTCCGAACTGAAGTAATTAGTAGTGTCGCTATGACGATTATCTCGAGATGGTCTCAGGTTTGTGTCATTTAATCCTGCAATATGAAGAAAAGGTTTCATTATTTAATTGCAGAATCTCAGACCATATCTACCAAATGACAATATTGGAGCATTTAGAAATAATTCATTATTATTAGACCTCAACATTTCCAATAAGGGTTTAATCATTATATATAAAACAGTGGCAAAAGCAGGATGTTGAAAAATAGACCCAGTAATGATATATCAATTAGATGACACTGTGGTGCAGTTACCAGCCAGCTACGTTCATGAATATATGATCTAAATGTGAATTAATTTATAACTTGAGTCTGGATAACACTCGTCTATTTTCCCATTTTCACTTTGCTCACAAGAGACTCCAACGCTCCGAAGACTCGTCCCCTGGTCTGCGTTGCTATGGAGTCCCTGGCAGCCTTCATGTAGGCTTGGCTGTAAACATTTCAGGGTTGTTGTACAGGGTTTGCTGCAGGTGCCGGCCCCTCCGCCGTTTCTTTTTTATCTTCCCCGCTCGGAATAATCTCCAAAGTGTACTGTGACGAGGTGAGCTCGAGCTCGTCTTCCTCATCCACGTTCTGCGGAGTTCAGTCACTTGAGTAAATCGTGGCCTGAGTATTTTTTGTTGAGCGAGTTGGTTATACTACTGCTTTTGTTTCTGCTTGACAGGATTCCACATGACAATACCACTAACCTGTTGAGCAAGATGCAGCGCAGAATAGGGTCGGGAGCACAGTAAACAAGACAGGGAGAGAGGTAGGTGGAGTGGAGGAGGGGGACAGAAGGGAGTTAAATCAGTCACTCAGCCAAAAAACCAGTGCCACGCCCCAGGTGCCAGGGCTAGTAAGAGCAAGCAGCAGGAATGTGAGGGAAATGAATGGGAGTGTAAGTCCTGCCATTCACATGGTGAGTGCTTTCTTTTTTCACCTTTAGCCTGCGCTACTTACCATATAAACATATCACAAAGCATGGCGAGGGTATAAGGAGGAGAAATATTTGTGCTAAGCTCCACAAAACTTTGTGCAGGATTTCTGATGTGAAACTTGGATTGTGAGTGGATGTGGTTTGTTATTTATCTGAGTGAGGGGGGAAAGTAATTTAGTTAAACAGCTCATGAAGGGGGGGCTCATTTTCCCTTCAGCTGAACTTTATAATAATGTATTATTAGCGAGAGCAGGCCTGATCAAAACGAAGCCCGTGTTGTGTCAGCGTGGATGTTTCTGGTCAGCTTTTAATCTGTAATTATGATCATCACAGGCGCTCAGAAAATGAAAAGTTTTCCTGTGTGGTCAGTGGTCTGCACAACATGACGATGGTCTGAAAGTAAAATCAAAACATCACGTGGTGCGTGAGTCAGTACGGTTAATTTCCCAGCTAACGAGGCTGACCGTTTTTATTTTTTAAATCGTCTCCCGTGTGAAAGGGACACTGTTTTGTCACGTGTGAATTAAGAATCGCTCTCTGTCTGTCTGCTTACGAGGAAACAAGTATGCAGCAAAATAAGATTTCTTTTTTTTCTCTCTCTCAGTCTTTTAAAAACGTCAAAGGGACTGTGGAAACACTTTGAACAGGCCAGCCAGTGATTCGAGACCACTGCTCTGAGAGAAGAGTACATATTTTCTGTCTGTGCGGTTGGCAATGTGTTTACTGGAAGGGCTGCTCGCTCGGAGCACATGTTGCTGCATGTGCACTCAGTCAGTGAGCCCCAAGAAGACTGTGGAGTTAAAGCGTAAATGCAGGGGCAGAAAAAGTGTTTTTGTGGCCGTGGTAGGGGGTGTTTGTGTGCGTGCGTGTGTGTGCGATTTTGTTTGGAGAACTTAGCAAATAACCAGCAAAACCACACTAGAATCCTGTGTGTATGTGTGGTTCAGGGTGGGTTATAGGAGTTTGCTGAGTCCAGTTTTTAAGCTCCCTTTCTGGGAACCAGCATTCCCTGGCTGGTTTCAGTATGTCCCAGGTTTGTCTATTGTACACAGCGAGTGGTAACAATGGGAGGGTTAAGTATCTGATATACACACCGAACCCTGGGACTCAGCTGCAAGTAATTAAAGCTGGCAGTTGGCAGAGAAGAGAGTCAGGCGACTGTAATGGCCGCTCTAAGTTCATACCATAATATTTGGATGATGAATCAGCCTGCTAGTAAAAGTGTTGTCATGCTGTTGACCCAAGGCTTTCTCCCCTCTCCGTGTCCTGTTGGCGTCGGCGAGGCACAGAGAAAAAGTCTTTGTACGACCCTGTTTGTAATGAGATCTGCTGTTTGTTTGCTATGCTACAGATTTTGCTTTGACCTCAGTTGTCTCACCAATTTGTGCTTTTTTTCCCCCTTCATCTGGTTTGATCCTCATCAAAGTGTTTTACCAGCCCTGAGGTCAGATGAACTTGGACAGGCGGTGCAGGATGAGTTGATGTATGATTTTACTGGGGTCCATAAAAATAAAATGCATGTTTTTCGTTAACTGTTAACCTCCGTGTTTAAAGAATGTTTGCTAAGGTAAATTAAAAAATGGGTGCAACTGAGGATTATTCTCACCAGAGAACTTGATCAGCTGCTTGATTGTTTGGTTTTTAAAGCTGATCGGTGACAGTTTTATTTTATTGGGTCTTAAAATCTGTCAGCAAATGTCTTGTTGTGTTGGACCAAAATGAGAAAAAATAACTTAATTAAGATGTGTAATTGTTGCAGCACTGATTTCCAAGCATCCTCCAATTCCACGCAGCTTTGACTCATTATACGGACCTTTGGGCATTCGGCTGCTTTTGTAAAGCAAAAAAAAGGCGCATTAAGCCTTTAGTGATGCAGAGGAAGCTGTGTTTGCTGAATTGCCCCGAGTGATGTCATTTGCAAAGTACAAGTTTCAAATTGAGAAAAAAAAAAAAAAAACCTGGGCGTGTTAGAAGAAAGTGAGCTTGCCAGACCTTTGTGGCCTACTTCTCATCTCTGATTAAGGCTAGCGGCTCGAGGCTACATTAGTCCTCAGTAGCACAACACGCCCAAATGTCTGGCTGGACTGCTGGTGGCGTGTTGCGTTAATGGCACTGACGAGCAAGAGGTCTTTGGTTTTTCTGCATGGATGTCGGTACCTGCTTTTTGTTTTTGCTGTTTGTTGTGAATTTAATGGTGAAGTCGAAGAGTCGTGCTCATTTGGAAAAGTACTTTGTAAAATATTTGTTGTTTTAACAACTAGAGGTGACTTTGTTGAATGAAGTTACTGATTTAAATCATCAAGGCCACTTCACAGTTATTTAACTCATTCACCAAGCCCCTTTCAGACATGCACTCCTTTTTGTTGATCTGATAACATCTCAGTGTGTCAGCTTATGTCTTAAAGAGCACCTGGGTCCCTCTGACTGGGTCAAACCAGGTAACGTTTAATCGTCGGTCTCAACACAGCACAAGTCTGAACTGTACTGTGGTACTGCGGTATAAGATGAAGCCTTGAGGATCCATGTCTGAATGACACAATGCCTTCGCTTTAACAGGCTGAGGAAGATGCCGGCAGCGTTACCAATGTCTAGAAAGAATGGGCTTCGGTCAGGTCAAGAGTTTTTGGACCACGCTTGACTTTCAGTTTATCAGCAAACTAATTAATTGCACATTAATGTTTCCTTCATTAATTGTTCCTATTAAGGGGAGGGCATGTAAAGGTGTAGCATGACTTTGCATATGTGCGTCGTGCGGCACAGTTTGGAAATATTACACAAGTGGAAACCCATCTGGGGGTACAAGGTGGCTCGGTTGTTAGCACATGACCTCAAAACTAGAAGGTCGCCGGTTCGCGTCCCGGTGAGGACACCCGGGATCTTCCTGCGTGGAGTCTCCATGTTCTCCCCGTGCAGCGTGGGTTCTCTCCGGGTTCTCCGGCTTCCTCCCACAGTCCAGAAACATGCTGAGGTTAATTGGTGATTGTAAATTGTCTGTAGGTGTGAATGTGAGTGTGCTTGGTTGTCTGTCTCTAAGTGTAGCCCTGTGATAGACTGGTTACCTGACCAGGTGAACCTGCCTTCACCCTGAGTCAGCTGGGATAGACTCCAACCCCCCATGACCCTAGTGAGGATTAAGCGGTGTATAGATAATGGATGGATGGATGGATGGGAACCCATTTGGCTTCTGATCTGATGATAGAATGATCAGGGACTGTTCCTACAAGCACAGCTCTCTGTTCTGTCTAATTCCTTGTCATTGGTATGTTCTTACAGTTATGTGAACGTGGTGGTTTGTATTTCTGTGAAACAGTATCATCACGAGAAAAGCATGAAATCATATTTCAGACGAAAACAGGATTCTAACTGTAATGTCATTACCCAAGAAATCTGAATCATGATTTGTATTTTTGTTTAGTCACCGTCAATGCGTCACCTCACTGATGTTTTGTTGGTTCCCCCTTTTTTCTCACGACAGAGTCAGTATATGACCTTCTTCCCAGAGAGCTACAGTTGCCTTCCTCCACTCAGCAGAACCCAAAAGCCATGAGTCAAACGAGCGGCGGAGAGGCAGGGCCTCTCCCTTCAGCTCCTCTAGCATCAGGTAGGATCTGGCGTCTCTTGTCTCTGTTTCTCCTCTGCAGGCAGGACTGATCATGCCCCACCCAAACCACCTAAATAAAATGCCCCCACATCATATTTAGACCCTCTATTTTCTATTAAACATTACAATTAATGTGTGTAGCGCAACATTAGCTAATAGTCGGACTCTACACAGTAATAGTATGAGACCCAGGCAAAGACGGTTTTACATACTCAGCACAGCACAACAGCCTAATCCTGCTTTCACTTTTTTGGGGGAAATAAGAAGCTTTGAGTGGCTGTAATCACCTTATTGCCCATTCTGTAGTTCCAAGATGGAGCTATTGTTCACAGAAGAAAATCACCTCAACAGATAAAGACACAAGTCTAGAAACTACATATAGTGCTAAAGGTTAAATACTGCACGGTTTAAGCCCGGCCAGTTCCTGTGGTTGATAAGCTTGTTGACCACTTCTCACCTGACCAAAGGAATTCTTTTAGATTTTAGCGCTTGATTGTCATGTTTGCAGTAAAAAAAAACAAAAAGCTTTGGTGCATGTATGATAAACCACAGGTTGTCTGGTTTTGTGTTGACATTAAACATGCATAAAAAGTCGGGTATGTGTTTGAAGTTCGTTATCTTTATGTTTTAAAAGCTCGCTGTGCTTCTGTCAGAAACGTGTCAACGCTGCTGCATCCCGTTTCTTCCCCTTTTCCTCTGATGCTCACGTGATACGCAGTGAAGTGACTGCTTGGTAAATAATTAAAGGAAAACTATGATAAATAAGGCAGCTGAGGTTGGGTTACATACGTAGGTCAGCAGGCAACTATGGACTCAGAAACTCCAACAACCCCAAAGATTACATGCTCACTGCGTGTTTGTTTGGTAATATGCAACAATAAAGCACAGAAGCAGCTGGCGTGATAAGGATCGTATAGCAGCTCCAACTTCATTCAATTTTAATGCATGTAGACCAAACGAATAGTTCACTCAGGGCACTAATATATATAATGATTAGCTTTGCATTGAGACACGATGGGCATCTTTCAGTATTTGGGTTCCAGTGATGTGTTTTTGGTTGTGATCATGAACCGTTTGTCTTTGTGTTTTGATCTTTGCTCAAAATGACGCCACCTCCATGCCTCTTTTTCTTTCCGACTGTGTGTTTTTTTTTGCTCGCTTAAAGAGTCGCCGAGAAATCCAGAATGTCAACAGCAGTCTAACTCCTTCTTTACAAGCTGCAGCTTAACCACACTTTTCCCCACTCTTCATCTAGTTCCTTGTAACTATTTGAATGCTTTTGAAGTTACGGTGTATGTAAGCATGCTGGAGCAACATTTTTTTGGCAAAAAAATAAATAAAAAATAAAAAAAATGCTTAATGTTCTAATGATTTTTTTTATTTTTTTTACAAAATCTGAATAAATTTTTTGCTGTTCAGCTTTTATTGCTCATTCGCTGTCTCATTTTTATATTCCAGGAAGTTCCCTCTGAAGCAGGGAGTGTCTGCATATAAAATGGTCTGCAGTTCTCTGCTTCATAGGTCAGAAGCTTGTTTATTTTGTCTCTGTGGCTACGTTCAGTCCCAAAAATGAACTTTTGTAGCAAAAAAAAAAATTAAAAAAAAAAAAAAAAACTAAAGAAAAAGCTCCAATAATTGGCATGCCTCATATTGTGCATATTACTGTTTTGAACATCCCTCTCCATTCCATCATTTTGGCTTTTTAGTCACTTGAACATGAACAAAGTGCTACCAATAATGATAAATTCATTGAGTCATTAGATTTAAAAATAAAAATAAGGTGAACTTCCACACCTCTACTGCGCTTCACATACTGTACATTTACAAATTCTCAGATATCATCAGCACCACACACACACACACACACACACACACACATGTAAGATCCAGTGAAAAAGGGGGAAAATTTGGATGAATTAAAAAAAAAAAAACCTAAAGCAAAAACAATCATGAACAAATTTTGCTGCTTAAACGGGACTGCTAGCCAACACTGTGTGAGATGCCTTTACTCACTGTCTAATTATTTGCACTGTAGATGCCATGTCCTCTTCTATGACCATGGAAGGCCCCCGCAGTGCTTTTTCCACCTCTTCCAGCTCCACCATGCATTCCAGTGCTTTAGCCGGTGACCAGAACCCAGCTCGCGGCGGCAATGTCGATCCAGAGGACGCCAGGAGCAGCAGGGTGGTGCCGGAGGTTGGCGGAGCAGAAAGCGGCAACAGCAGCGGCGGCGGTGGCGGCAGCGGGAACGGCAGGGGCGGCGGTGAGCACGGAGGAGGAAGAGGTGTAGCGTCCCAGGAGGCCCAAGCGCACCACCAGATGACCCCGTCGAAGCGCCGCACCATACTGAACATCTCTCCACCTCCGCAAGACCTGCTGGACGACAGCCGCATGTCCTGCCAGGATGAGGCGTCCCTGGACTCGGAGCAGAGCAACAGCATCTGGATGGAAGACTCTCTGTCCAACTTCAGCGTCACGAGCAGCGTCTCTTACAACGACAACACGGAAGTGCCACGAAAGTCCCGCAAGCGAACCCCTCGCCAAAGGCCCGGTCCAAAGTCTGCACGTGCCGAGGAAGCAAGCATGGATGTGTTCGATGCAGACAGTGCCAAAGGTCCACACTTTGTCCTCTCGCAGCTCGGCCCTGACAGCAAGGCGGGAGCTAAAGGAAGGTTTGTAGCTGAAATGCTTTGACTGATATTGAGCTGTTAGATCATGATGAGCAGAACATATCAAAAGAGAAGCCTTTAATGATGTGCAGGTGGATCTACGGAGACTTTCTCATTGTGTTTTTCCTGTGGGTAAACATTGTTGACTTAGTAATTGATATTTCAATTATTTAGTATTCCACTGTTGCTAGGGGCACCGCTAACTTCTCAAGTGGATGCTCGGCCTTTGTTTTATCCTACTATTGTTTCAGACACCCTCCTGGATAATCGCATTCGGCACTCATCCTGATTGTCAGAGCAGATATTATCAGGAAACGACACACTGACACACACCAGCAGATGGAAATCTTTAACAAACTAGTCTGCCTCTAAATTTCCCACCACGCTTTGACTGAAGGAGAGCGGCGAGATCAGAGGGGAGGGAGGGGCAGGATACCGAAGTACAAACAATGGTCAGCCACAGTGAATCACAGAGCCTCTCTCAAAGACCTAGGATAAGCAGAGCAGATTAAATAAACAGATAACTCTGAACGTTTTAAGAGCTGGGGATAGAATATGCTTGGTTGATGGAGGGCCTCTTAACTCTGCATTGCTTAGAGCACCATGGCAACTTCACAGCGTTTGCACTGTTGTGGCTGTGAGAGCGATTTACTGCAGCAAGCCCCAGCCAGATATCTATACACAGATATTTATTATTGAGAGGGCTCATGTCGTGACTTGCCTTCCACTGAGCCTAAAGATGGTGCAAGCAGTAGCAGGGTAGGGTAATATGTAGTCAAAGTGAGTTGAGACATACGTTTTAATCCATTTTAAAACAGCAGAAGTGTTCGGAAATGTCAGAGGTAATCGGCCGGCATCTTTGTCGAATCGTTCTTTCTGCAGCTCCGATGATCCTCAGACGACAAACCAGAAAGGAGGAACCCTCTCGATGCAATTCCCACAAAAGAGTGAAGGGAAGGAGCTGAAGATCCTCGTCCAGCCTGAGACTCAGCACCGAGCTCGCTATCTGACAGAAGGCAGCAGAGGATCCGTGAAGGACCGCACTCAGCAGGGCTTCCCTACCGTTAAGGTAAAACCCCTGATAGAGTTTCTGTAGTGAATGTTCCAGTCAGTGTTTTGACTTTTCTCCTATAGTTTGCCTCTGTTTAAGGTTAAGTTAATGATTGAGTTATTGCCAGAGGCTTTAAAATACATATCATGTGTCTAAGATTTGCTATTCTTGGAGTCATAAGAGCAGTGGGGGCAAAACAATGTCAATATTGAAGTGGAAGAGTAAAGGTCGTTGTGTGTCAAAGTGTTTGCATGCAGCGGCTTGTGTGCTTTGTTTGGATGTCCCAAACGGCGCCTGTTAAAACCGATTGCCTACCTATGCCAGGTGTAATCCTGTGTTTGTTTTTCTATCTGCTCCGCATTATGGTTTCATAATGCAGAGGGGGCGTGTCGCTGCAGAACTGTCGAGGCAGCAAAGTTTGAACTGGCTTTAAACGGTCCCTCGTCTCCGCCAAGATAAACGCACGTCTTCGTACCCGTTGGTATCGCTGGAGTCACCCTCTGTGGATGGTGAATATCCACAGCCAAATTAATCAACGTCAGGATACTACATCTGAGTTGTTGTTGTACAAAGAATGATTTACTTTAGAGCAGCACTGAAGATAAACTCGTGGACTGGTTGACGGCAGCTGGACCGTTAGATTTCTTTTAGATCTTGTGTTCAAGTCTACGTGGTGGTGGTGTGAGGTGAAAGGTCAGAGAGCAGTTTCCCTATCAGACCACCAGCTAACTCTTGCTTGAGCTTATGAGTGAAGGCCAAGGAAGATAACTGTATGTAGTAGCTGTATTTGGGGCAGAACCTGTAAAGCAATTGAGCAGAGAAATAGTCTCTCTTCGCCTAGTACCTTGGTTAGTTTGCCTGCCCCGGTGATGTGGACACGAGAACAAAGCAGTCTGAGTTCTGCCGGGTCACCCAGTTAACTGGCTCGCTCGTACTCAGGAAGAGCAGGTGAATCCAGATGTCGAAGGCGGGCATGGGAACAGCAGGAGATAACAAACAGGCTTTTAAAGGATGATTACACAAGAAGGCAAAATGAAAACTGGCTGGTAAAAATGCAGAGACTAATGAAAAAACATGAAGCTTCATAAAACGAGTGGAGAAAGGTGAACAGACTCAGCTGTGTCCCAGCTGTTGCGTGGTGTTACATGATGAGGAATAAGCTCATCGTTTCCGTAAGTTTCAAAAATTAGTGATTCATGAATTCCTTGGCTTGCTCTGTGTTTTCCTGAAACACGTTCTTACTCACACACAAATATTTACCGTCACCAGTATCTGATTCCTCGTCTTTTTTCCCTCTGTGCAGCTGGAGGGTGTGAACGAGCCGGTGGTTTTGCAGGTGTTCGTAGGAAACGACACCGGCCGCGTGAAGCCTCACGGGTTCTACCAGGCCTGCAGGGTGACCGGTCGCAACACCACGGCCTGCAAGGAGGTCGACATCGACGGCACAACTGTCATCGAGGTGTCCCTGGACCCAAGCAGCAAAATGACACTCGCGTACGTACTTTTCCCCCCCGAGACTGTAATTGGATTGTTTCATTGATTTTCATTTTAACATGTTAAACAAAGTCCCTTTATTTACTCTAATGTGCTAAATGGTTGTTCATGATGAAGCAGACTAATTGCTTAATAAAGTGATCGCATAAATGAAGAGTTCATTTGCAAAAACAGACAACTCCGTTTTCACAAACCTTCAGAAAACCAACTTTTCCATCGTCCGCCTGAGACAACATCAGTCAAACTTAGTTATCTCTGTTTTTGTCATTTCTACTGAATCCACTCAGTTTCAGTTTGATTGATATCATCTCAAGCAAACAACAAAAAAAAAACAAGTTTCCTGAAAATCTACACAAGTGGAGTTATCTGTTTTTGTAAACGACCTCTTCAGACACTTCATCGATCCCCTTGTGGGAAATCACTCATTTCAATGTCATGCTGACGTATTTGGTTTCGTAAAGAGCTGCTAGTTTAGTAAACACTGTGAAGTTTGTTGTTTAAACTGCAACTTGAAACAAGTCCAAGCTTGTCCAAGCTAACGTCGTCCCTCTGTGTTTTTTTATTCAGGGTGGACTGCGTTGGGATCTTGAAGCTCCGTAACGCTGATGTCGAGGCTCGGATCGGCGTGGCCGGTTCCAAGAAGAAGAGCACACGCGCTCGGCTGGTGTTTCGGGTCAACATCCCCCGTCCAGACGGATCAGCGCTCACACTACAGACTCCCTCGTTTCCAATCCTGTGCAGTAAGTCCGTCTCCTCGTGTGTTTCTCTGTGGAGCTGATGCATTTGTTGAACCTCTAAAAAAATGAGTAGATATTTGCACATTTGTAAACAGACTGTGGTGGTTACAGCAAACCAACTCTGCTAGAATTCAGCAGGTTAAATGAGGGAAAACTGACAGTTGACCTGCAACCTACTTAGTTAATAATTATCCTCATACTGTAAACTGAGCTATTTCTTGTTTTCTCTTTAACAAGAGAGGTCCGGTTTCTAAACTTGAAGAAGGCCTTGAGGTCTGGAGACTGTTGTCTTTTGATGTCAGCGTTCGGAGACAATGTGCAAAGATCCCCCCGTCAGATTCAGTTATTTAATAACGCGTACAGTACGAGGGTGTGGTTGGTTTCATAAACAGGAAAGACGCTTAGGGCCATAAGAAAATATCTGTGTAAGTGGATTTAGAAGAAGTGCTCGGAGAGGGAAAAGGAGAGGGAAAAGACGAAACAATAGAGGTGTGTGGACTTCTATTGTTTACACAGCGCCAGCGTGCAATCCAGGGAAATATCTTTCCACAAAATAAGAAAAAATAGTAATCCCGCTTGGCATCTGTGTGTGTGTGTGTGTGTGTGTGTGTGTGGTTCACAGTAATGAAAAAGGTTTGTGAAATGTGTTCGAGGGAAAGGGGGAGTGGTCTTCAGCATGTGCCAAGCCCTTTTACCGTTTTAATGGCCTGTGAGAAATGTACAACATATTGCAATAAAACAACCACATGAGCCATATTTCAAATTAAAGGGATCACCGAGTTTAAAAATGATTGATTTTAGCAATACAACAGGCAGAAGTGTCCGTGCACATTACAGGGTCCGAGAACATCTCTTTAGCTCGTTCAAAAGGTCTCATGGCTGCTAATGAAAGATAGATGAAGTCATGTGTTTATATGTAACACAACAATTAGATTCGACCCCGAAGCAGATCGCGTTCGGCAAAGTCACTGAAGTCGGAAGGTGTTTGTTGAAAAACAGATTCAAAGGTGCCGAACTTTTCCTCAGTAGTTATGGCTCATTATTTTTTTTGTTATTGAGAGAATAAGACAATATTAATTTGAAATAATAAAATTTAGATGAGGGCTGCAAGGTGGCTCGGTGGTTAGAAGATCGCCGGTTCGCGTCCCGGTGAGGACACCTGGGATCTTTCTGCGTGGAGTCTCCATGTTCTCCCCGTGCAGCGTGGGTTCTCTCCGGGTTCTCCGGCTTCCTCCCACAGTCCACAAACATGCTGAGGATTCTAAATTGTCCGTAGGTGTGAATGTGAGTGTGCTTGGTTGTCTGTCTCTAAGTGTAGCCCTGTGATAGACTGGTTACCTGTCCAGGTGAACCTGCCTTCACCCTGAGTCAGCTGGGATAGACTCCAGCCCCCCATGACCCTAGTGAGGATTAAGGTGTGGAGATGATGGATGGAAATTTAGATGAAGTCTGGTTCTGGTGAATAAGCAAATCCTTGTTTAGGAGAGCTAATCACATGTTTTTGGACGAGGTATCATCAAAGAGGACCTCACTTACTGTTTAAATGTAAAGAACTGTATCTTTGAAAGGCAGCGAGCACATATATGAAGATCAATTTAAACTGCTGTCGTAAACAATGAAGTCAACAAATGTCAAAATCTCATCCTAAAACATTCCATCACTGCGTCTCCTCTGTTTCCAGCCCAGCCTGCAGGGGTGCCCGAAATACTGAAGAAGTCGCTGCACAGTTGTTCAGTGAGGGGCGGAGAGGAGGTCTTCATCATCGGCAAGAACTTCCTCAAAGACACCAAAGTCGTCTTTCACGAGAATGTTTCTGGTAAGAAATCCACCCACGGGAATATGTTTGGGCATTTTGGGCTCATCTGTTTTTAATGAGGTGTGTTTCATCAGTAAACACGTCTTCTCTCTGGTCCAGATGAAAAATCGTGGAAAGCAGAGGCTGAAATCGACATGGAGCTCTTCCACCAGGTGAAACGTCTCCCTCTCTCTCTTTGTGTTATTTTTGCACCGCGGTGATTAATGGAAATGAGCTGAGTAGATAGACATGGCCGTTTCAGATTTGTATGGGGCTTTAGCTGTAATCATCTTAAATGGCTGCTGGTTCAAAGGTTTGAGTAGTCTCATTGTGTTCTGACCTAATTACGCTCAGTCTCAGAGGCCGTTCTGAGTGTGTCTCAACAGTCCAGTTTGAACCTTTGTCCTTGTGAATTAAATGGCCAGAAATAGACGAACTGATAAATCTGCAGCATCTCGTTGCATTTTGATTCGATTCTGGAGATTTCTTGTCACTGTTTCCGACTGAAACCGATGACGTGCGTCTTCAAGGCCTTACAAACATGTTGAATGAAGTAACTCAGCTCTCCCACCTCTCTTAAAATATATTTTCAGACAGTTTATTTGAAACCTGCATTGTTCAAACTGGCTAGTGGTCTTCTTATTATTGAGGCTGCACTGTATTTTTTAAAGGTTTACTGCCACCAGCTGTTCGTAGGCGGAACTGTGTGAAAATGAAGGACTGTTGCTTCAGACGTTTCGTAGATATGGCCCCGCTGTGAGATTGTCCTTATCACCGGGTCAGAACGCTAGGGAGATGTTACTGCCTTTATGACTTTTATTATTACTGATAAACATGAAATGACTCACCAGATAATCGCAGGACTCAAAGTTGTCGTCATAGTTTTTTGGACTATGAATGCATAACATTCTGCTTGTAAATCTAAGATGTTCATTCTATTGCAAAGTGCTGTTCAGTCCCATAAGTGCACATTCAAATTAGCTCCACGTGTAGCCACATGCTAATTTCTCATTACCTTAACCCGTTGACTTGACGATTTCCTCCAATTCACGTGTTTAAATAATATTGTTTTCGGTGTTGGCTGACTGTACTTTCTATCTATGATTCTTCCCAAGAATCACCTGATAGTGAAGGTTCCTCCTTACCAGAACCAAGCCGTCACGTCTTCGGTGTGCGTGGGAATCTACGTGGTGACCAACGCCGGGAGATCCCACGATGTCCAGCCGTTTACCTACACTCCAGATCCAGGTCTGTTTGAGTCCATTTTGCCTATTCACACAAGTTTCTCTTTATTTGTCTCTTTTTACAATCGACTGATAAGAAGATCATGAGGAAAGGTTGATCAGGGCAGCCTCCAGATTAGTAGGTCATTTTTTACAGAGGCCTTATTAGATTTATTCACTGGCAACACAACTGGGTCACCTGTTGGACTCATTCTAACAAATGTTCTTTGGCACTTTTAATATTTATTTTATAATTCATTGCTATTTTATTATTTATGTCACCTCTTAACTTTTTTTTTTCTTAGACTGTCTTAGACTGCTGCAAAGATGATACCAAACGAAATTTCGTTAAAGCTTCTTCTTCTTAGTTCAAAATTTACCTGCATTGTAGATAATTATAGTTTTTCAAAGATTTTTTTTTTTTACACAATATTTTTGCAGCATAGAAGCAGGAGTTGCATCTTGAGCTTTAACTCCTCATTAAATCAGTTGTCCCTGTTACTCAACACCACCACCTACAGATTAGTTAGTTCACAGCAGGGATTAGCGATCGTTAGCTTCCAGCCAGTTTCTTAACATGGCGATCTCCTTTCACAAGTTTCTTTTATTAGCTCTTTTGTCAATTTCAAGGTCCTTTTGGTGGTTTGGGTAAAACATTGAAAGACGTTTCCTTCGCACCACGTTTACACGCATTCTTTTCTATTCACATGAAGATTTGCATTCATTTTGTTGCTCTGTGGACAACCTTGCAGCGAAAAATGAAGTTCCTGTGAAGAAAGAGACGCCTTCTCCGGTGAAGACTTGCTCTTTTGATGAGCAAATTAAAGGTAACTTGTCTTTATTGTTAGTGTTTACTCCATGTATACTTTATTTCTGGGTATTTCAAACTGAAAAATGTTTGACTGAGTTTAGGAGTCGCACATAAGGCTCTGTTTGCATTAGAATAGACTCAAGTGCATTTATTATTTTACTGTCTGAAGAAGTGGAAAAACCATGATGTAATCCTTGCTTGTGCTCCTTCAGTTCTTGATGGTGCCTTGATGCCTTCAATGTTGCCTTTAGTGAAGAGAGAAGATGTCACTCCAATGGAGGTGACAAGCAACCTCCAATCTTCTGGAGTATTTAAGGTGAAGTATTGATCTATATAATTTAAATTTAAAGAGAGAGGGGTTTTTTGATATACAAAGGTATTCAGTAAAATTCAATCCATGTCATACTTCATAGAAGTTTTCTTTGTGGATGGAGGTTTAAAAAAGGAATTAGCACAATAATGCTGCATGTTTTAAAAGTTCATGAAGCACATCTTTTTTTTTCTGTTTGGTTTGTTTCCAGCAGACTGGTGACCTGTGTCCAGCGCAGCAGAACTCAGACTTGACGGCAGGACACCTAAATAAAAGCCGAGCATTCTCCAGCAACCTGTCTCAACCTGCAGGCGATCCTGATAAAGGCCAGAGTCCTGTTTTTACCAACACCGAGCCCTTAAGCACCATCCAGAAGCAGGACATCAGTACCGGCAGTTCGTTCTCTGTGCCTGCAGATCCTCTGCTTCAGCAAGGCTCACAGCAGTTTCTTCTGGAGCCCAGAGATGGCCTGAGGCAGGAGAGGCCAGGCGGCGCTCCCGGAGCTGTGGGCAGGCTGTGTGGGGAACCTGCATCCCAACAGCAGCAGCTGCCACTGTTCCCTCCAGACGAAGTCGCCCAGCTGGAGGAAGCTGTGAGACAACTTAAAGCCAAAGGGTTCTGTAGCTTACCGCTTCAGTCGGACAACTCTATAACCAAACAGCAGCAGCAGCATATCCAGCACCAGCAACAGATCCAGAAACAGCAAATCCAGCAGCAACAGCAGCAACAAATCCAGCAGCAACAGTTTCAGCAGCAGCAACAGCAGCAGGTTTTGGAGAATTTGCAGCAGCAGCTGTTTCAGTCCCAGATTCAGATGCAGTGCAGCATGTTTCAGGATGCTTCCCAGGGCAAGAACGCAGAACATCAGGGTTCATCACAAGGGGTGGTTCCAAACCAGGGCTCTCTGTACCAGCCCACCCAACAGCAGCAGCAGCAGCAGCAGCAACAACAACAACAGCAACAGCAGCAACAAGCAGCGCTTTTTCAGCAGGCAAATGACCTTCTGTCCATTCAGACCAACTTTCTCCAGCAGTCACCCTCTCACCCCTCGCCGCCCATGTTCCATAATCCCAGCTCGCTGGCGGAAACACAAGACCCCCAGGGGGCTCTCTTTCAGAAACCCTCCCAGGAGCAGGTCCAGGCAGCTCTCTTCCAAAACACCATGACAGTACTACAGTCTCCAGAGCAACAACCCTCAACCCCTGGACTGTTCCTCCCCCAGACCCCCCTGCCCTCCCAGCTTTCAACCAGTAGCTCTCAGCAACAACAACAACAACAACAGCAGCAACAGCAGCAGCAGCAGCAGCTGGCCTTCCTCGGCGCGCTGCAATCCTCCTCCCCTGAGCCACAATCAGTATTTCAGAACCAGACCCAGATCTCCCCCATCCAGCAGAGAAGCCCCCTGGAGCAGCAGCAGTCCTCCCAGCCCCAGCCCCACACACAGCCAGCCCAGCAGGCGTCCCTGTTTCAGACCATCTCCCCACATCCATCAGCAAACACACTCTCTCCAGGCCAACAGCAGCAGCAGCAGCAGCAGGCCGGCCTACTCTTTTGCGGCAATGCCATGTCCACACCAGACCAGGCCTCCAGCCTCCTGTTCAACAGCCAGGGCCAGATGCCTCCCCTGACCAGCAGCAGTTTAGTTCCCCAAGAGCCCCAAAACCCCTCTATGCTCTTTTCCCAAGCCAGCATGGTGACAGTGAACCAGCAGGACCGCTCTGAGCCCATGGCCTTAGGGAACCCTACTGACCCACGACAGCAGGTCATGTTTCAGGAGCAGCAGCCCATGCAGCTCGGCAGCAGCACCACCAACCGGCAGGAGCAGCCCGTGGGCCTATTTATGCCTCAGTCCAATATGGCCTCTCTGCAAGGGGGACTGGCTGCTCAGGAGCTCGCACAGTCAGCCATGTTTGCTTCTCAAAATGGCGTGGCAAACCTCCAGACAACCACCTCGTCCCCCGTTCAACAGCCGGGAACTCTGTTTCAGACCGCCGTGAGTGGGAGCATCAATCAGCCCAGCCAGCCTCAGCAGCCAGGCCTGTTCCTCTTCGGTATTCAGAACGGTAAGAAATGTATTACTCTGGTACGCACCTTTGAATTCACTGAGCTGACAAAACATGACAACAAGAAGCATCAATGAGTTCTAATCAGTATTTTTAAGTTAACAAGGGAAAGCGATGCATCCATAATTATCACCCAACCCTTCAGTCCCTGCTGACTGTGATAGTTCCTTGTTTTGGTTTTCTACAGTTTTACTATTTTGGTTCACCCTCTTTTCCTCCAGAAGCAGCCGGTTCCTAGTAAGGCACAGCTAGCAGGTAGCGGGTCAACAAAATGAAGCATTTAGCAGCTAAAGAGCTAAAGAGCTAGAGAGCTAGAGAGCCAGGCATTTCCCTCAAGAGTGAGTGGAGAGCAAGGGATGAAAATTCAAGTTTGTCAGGTGACCAAAATCGTGACTCCAATCTTTGTGTAAAGCGACGGCATCAACCTAAAAGCCGAGTTGTTTTCCAAAACTCATACTACCACACTGTACTACTTAGCACCTCAGAGAAAGAGTTAATACACCTCAATAGATGTCCTACTGCATTCACATTTTGCAGTATGCAAGCCAGCATGCTTCAGACTCACAATCCTCGAGAGACACATCTCATACGTCACAGCGTCTTGTGCAGGTTTGAACAAGCTTGGGCTGCAGGCAGAGCTCAGACAGATAACAGCTCACTTGACAAATTATGAAGCCACGCTGACAGATGGCATCAGGTGTAACCCTTTCCTATCTAAATCACACACTTTTTTCTGTTTCCTTTAAATGTCGCACCACAGGTCCGACATGTCAAAGTTAAAGGCACAAATGCGTCCTGCATGCATTTATACTGTGAAAGGGCAGTATGTAGTGAAAGTGAAAAGAAAACAGTTGGTGGGTGGTGGAGTGCTCACGGCTTGTTTCTGCTGCCCTCTGTTGGCCAAAATCAGTTACTTCAGCTTTATCAGGTCAATTTAAGATGAGCGATAAGAGCTTCAGCAAATAGGGAAGTAAATGGGGAATTTATTTTAAACCTGAACAGTCATGCTACTTTGCAACTTTCACTTTTGTTTTTATTCTAATGCTGTTGCTTTATTGAGATTTACTTACATTTTATCAATTTATTTCCTGTTATTTATCAATAAGCTGTTATTTGTATTAGCATCAGTACTTTTCTTTTTCTTTTCCAGTTAAATATAGATTTCTAAATGACTTTTGAAAGACTCCCCAGGTCTCAGGGAATTTTATATAATCATCCTTCAAAGGTGGTCGGTGGTTAGCACCGTTGCCTCACATCGAGAAGGTCGCCGGTTCACATCCCGGTGAGGACACCCGGGATCTTTCTGTGTGGAGTCTCCATGTTCTCCCCGTGCAGCGTGGGTTCTCTCCCACAGTCCAGAAACATGCTGAGGTTAATTGGTGATTGTAAATTGTCCGTAGGTGTGAATGTGAGTGTGCTTGGTTGTCTGTCTCTAAGTGTAGCCCTGTGATAGACTGGTTACCTGTCCAGGTGAACCTGCCTTCACCCTGAGTCAGCCTGGATAGACTCCAGCCCCCCTAGTGAGGATTAAGGTGTAGAGATGATGGATGGATGGATGGATGGATAGATGGATGCATGATGGGGACTTTATGGCCAGGCTTTAGGGTTTTTTTGTTTTTTTTCTTTCACCATCTCAAGCACATTTGAACTTTGCTTGAGGCTCAACATCTGCCTCAGTGATGATGAAAAAAGGAAGTTAGAAGATGAATCTATCTCCTGATTCTTGCTAACGTTGCCCGTCTCTGTTCCTCCCTCGCAGAATGTGGCCAGCTGATGAACACTCCTGGAAACACGCTGTCGGATCAGATTATAGCCATCAGCCAGTCCGGTCAGAACCAAAGAGAAAGCGACGCCCACATCCAGTCCCTGCTCAGCCAGTCTCTGTCCCAGTCCGGGTCCGTGCAGAGCAGCATGTCGGCCTCTCAGAACATGGAGAAGATCGACGACCTGCTGGTCAGCCTGCAGGAGTCGGGCAGCAACCTGACTCGCTCCTACTGACCTTATTACAGTTTGTGTTTTTAACTGTTGAAACCTGGAATAGTTGTAAAATGTAGACAAAAAATGGTCCAAATATTGTCTGTTAGAAACGACACGCAGGTAAACGTTTGTGAATTAGCCGCTTCTATCTGGTCATTTAATGTTTTTCTGCTGATAAACACGTGATTTGGTCTTTTTAAATTGCTGCTGGCCTTGTTGAGCCAGTCTCTTTATAAAAACGAAGCAGCAGTGACGTGAGATCCAGATCCAGATTCATTTGTTTTGGAAGCGACGTGCTTACTTAATGACTGACTGACTCCCCTGTTGGTAAACCTTAGGTGATAAAATAGAGACTCCAGGTGAGAATAAGAGGAATTTGGCCCTTTTATTCTTCAGCTTCCTGTCTGGAGAGAAAACGACTTCCCAGGCTCGAATTCATTCGCCTGTTGTTTTTATCTGTAAGCAAGTCGTCAGCGATGTTATCAGCGGCACCTTTCGGTTCTCGTGTTGTTTTCTAAAGTGTTCTCCAAAGTGTTTAGTGGTTTCCATGAATAGTGTTCCCTTTAATCCTTTATTTTGTGTATTTTGTTGCGTGGCGGGTGGCGCGTACGGCGTGGCAAGAAGGTTTTGGTGAAGTGTTGGTATGTATGGTAGGAGATCTGGAAGGTAGTTGACGTGGTTTAAAATCATTTACACGTGACTGAACGGGTTAGACGAGTTAGAGAGGAAGCAGAGAAGTGAGAGATGGAAGGATTGGAGGAATGAGTAGGACAGCGAGGGTCTATCGTGTATGTGGGTGCCATTATTTCAGTGTTGTAGCAGCTAGCGTTGGACCTGACAGTGTGAATAAGGTCGCTGTAGCTGTCTCTGATAGACCTCAAGGTGACTTTGGTGTCATTAATGATGTGATGTAGAAGCTCAGATGCTCAGTAAGCGTATTAGTTATGCACATAACTAAAGTGATGTTGTACATTTTTCCTAAAGCCTGGATAAATCAGTCTTGTCTAGGTCGCTTTATCACAATCATACCTTTAAATTCGTCAGTGCGGTGAAGATCCAGCTGTGAAACTAATTTTGCATCGTTCAGTACCTTCGCCATCTGGACCCCGGCGTGCAGACAACACTTTGTAATGTCGGAAAGCAAACGTGTGTTCAGGCTAACACACTTTACTGCATTACAAACTGAGTTCAAACGAATACTGACAGACTTCCTTATCGTCAGCACTTTAAGATGCTGTCCTTTGTGGCCGCTCTTCTCATGGAGGGTCCAGCACAGTCCCACAAGAGGCTTCGATTCGCCTCCCCCTCATCGTTTACAGTGAAGATACTGCAATGCCAGTCGTGTTACAACTGTTCATCCCCCCCCAAAAAACAAACCTAATGCGTTATTTATTCCTTCTTAGAAAACTGGACAAATGAGGAAGAATGTGGATCAAGACATTTTCATTCAATCGATGTAATTTCAGTCGACATATAAACTCTTATTTAAATACGTGCGTCTAGAGTAGAGAGAGTAGAATGTAATATATTATTGTTGTTGTTGTTTTTGTCATGAGGGTGAGATCATTATGTGTTTTTTTTAGTGTCATTTCGATGGCATCCTTCTGCGTCAGGCACGCACGAACTGGAATAGTATTCTTAAACCAGCTAGAGAAGAGCCTTTTCACCAGTTTTATAAATGTGACGGATCCAGTGAATGTCGAGGCGGAGCGACAGTTCAGCGGCTGTGGCTGCACATCTCATCCAGGTTATGGTATTAACAGGCAGGAACAGAGCCCATTTTACATGTTTTCTTCTTGTAAATGCAAACTGTACAATTTTTACAGACTTAATGTCCTCACCTGTAGATGGCCAGTGGCCTCAGGACCAAAGTTTGACTCGAATCTCGCTTTGCATGAATCCTGATGACAGGCCAGTTTTATGGCTCGTGAACTTTTCTTTTTCTTTTCAGTGACTTGCAGCTTTAGGATGAGTACAGACATTTTTTTTGTCTCCTGAATATGCAGGTTTCATTGTGAGGCATCCTGCTGCCACCTTGTTCTTTGTGTTTTGTGTTGTATTGGCAAAAAAAACTAAAAAAAAAACCAACAACATGTTTGTGTCTAGTTTCAGTGTAAGTGCACGAACAAGGGGCTGGTCTCTGATGAAACTAGCTCTGTTTTATGCCTCATCGTCGTGTCTTGTTCTCTGTGTACAGTTTGTTATGAGTACATTAACACCGTTACATTTTATACACTTCAGAATCAGAATTAGCTGTCGTTTTATGATGGAGATTATGTAAACTTGACTAATGTGATTTGTGGAACTACGGTGTGCTGGTCTGAGCAGTCTGAGTGGTTTTAAAGGGACCCTACTCCTGAAGGAAACCTGACTTTGGAGAAAAGAGCTATCTGAGATTGGCTTTCTTCAACTTGTGAAATAGAAGAACTAATATTTCCAGTGTTGAGTATTTATGATTTTATTTTTGCTTTTGTTTGTAGAAAGACTTTTACCTTTTTTTTTATTTAGTACCTGTGCCTCTGTTCAGAGAAGCATATCTAATTTATTTGTGTGTTGGTTGTTGTTGTTTTCCGTAATCATGGTTGTGTTTCTAACTGTACTGATGGCAGCAATGTGATTTGGCCCCGACACCTTCTCATACTTTAACTGGCACCTTGTGATGCCTTTGAATTAATAATGTGTCTCGTACACGATAAATAAAGTACCGATTCCTGTGCACAGTTACTCCGTTGACCTATTAGACGATGTAGATACACACCCTGATGTACAGATCATTTGTTCGTGACTTCTAATTGGACGACTGGCCCTGTACTTCTTTTTGACCAAATCGTTCACAGCAGGACCAACAGATTTCAGTATTTCGTACTGAATGTGACTCTCTGGTGTGGCTGCAGGAGTTTTGTTTTGCTCCAGGATGTTCTTTCATACACCGAGTGGGGAGGTGATTCCTTTTTTTGAAGTTACCTCATTTGTGTATTTACAGTGTCGCTGGAGACCAGAGATGTACGAGTGTGATTCAATACAGTTAGCTGTAAGGAAACGAGGGAGATTGTTGAGAGAGAAGTTCTCATTGTTCTCGAGACGACCACCAGCTCTTTGTCTGTTTGCAACATTAGAACAAGATGTGGTTTTAACATTACCAGCTCATTTATTATCTACAAAACTGAGTCACAGATGTTTGATTTTTCCCTAAAATGTCGCCTAAGACACTAATAGAGATTGTACATGTGCCTTGAGGAGACGTTGTAGTCGCAGCCAGATTAATGTTTTACCGTTGTTGCCTGTTTAACATCCCGCTGGCCCAGCCGGCGACGACTAGTCCTCATTAACTAGAATGTTTTAAGCCATAACACTTTAAGTGTGCTTTAAATGCTCGACAACAGTGACCAGATTCATGTGGTTGTGGTGGATTAATGTGTTGTGCAATTTCTGTCATGCATCTAACTTGTTTGTACTGAAGTATCCATTGCATTTATGTTATCCAACGTAGATGCAGACAAATTTTCTCTGAAACTGCTATGCAGCTAATATACCTTAAATGTAGATCTATTAGTTTTTGAATATATATTTTTCTATATAGCGTCTCCTGTTTTCAACACAGAGGAGAAACCAAAATAGATGTTCTTTCTATTATTTATGTTGCTTGTTGAAATTTTGTGACGCTTCGAGTGCCGCCTGAAACTGATTTTAACTCTTTTAGTCGGTTAAAATGCTTTTTTTTTTCTCCTCTCAACAACCATCTGAGACAAGGGTCACCGAATGTTTGTTCGCTTCTAACAAAGTGAATCGTTCCTCCGGCAAACAGCCGAAGAGGGAAAATTTGCCTTTTTGTTTCTAACCATGTGAACAACTGTCAAATAATCACCCTAAGGAAAAAAAAAAACAAAAACCTGTCTATATATTTGGCTTCTGTTGGGATATTTTTATTCTCTTGCAATTAAATTTCTGTAAACTTGCTGCTGTCTATAATAAACATATATACTTTAAATGTGAGTTGAGTTTTTATTTCATGATTCTGGTGTAAGACACAGCTTGACCTTGGGAGTGAATTACTTTCACTTGTAAACGTGCCAAGACCCTTCCACTACTGAAGCTACACGCCCATCACTAATTAGACTACCTCCAAGCTGATTTTGCTTTCACTTGCATTTTGAGAATTCATGTCTTATCGTCCACAAACACGCAAAAGATGCATTAGCAACATCATCGCAGCTTATCTGAGACTCCTAAAGCAAATCTGGGTCATCATTTGCTTTTAGACCAAAACAAAACAAACAAAAAACAGGTCAATGGGATAAAGGCCCTCGATATCTGCCTTCGTAAAGGTTTTTTTTAACATTTCAGAAGAGTTGTTTTCAAACATTTGATCCAGCCTTCAGCTTTTACACTGTAAAATTTTGCCAAAATGGGTTTATTGTATAAAATATAGCATAAAAGTAAAGATGCTTCACTGCTTGTGTTGGATTCAGGAGAACATGCAGGCTCGTTGTAGAAATATATGAGTGTGACTAAATCCACAGTCATCACTATCTGTGTGGAAAAGAGGGAGATAGTTGAGAAAAGTTTTCATTTTCCTCAAGAGGACCACAAGCTCTTTGTCTGTTCATTACATTAGAACAAGAAGTGGATTTCCTGTAACATTACCAGTTAATTTATTATCTACAGACTGAATCAGAGGTGTTCAGACCGGTAAACTTTGTACAAAATGTCACTTAAGTCACTAATAAAGATTGCTTGAGAGGTCGCTGAGTTTTTATTTCAAGACACAGCTTGGCCTTGGGAGTGAATTACTTTCATTTGTAAACGTGCCAAGACCCTTCCACTACTGAAGCTACACGCCCACGGCTAGTTAGGCTGCCTCCGAGCTGATTTTGCTTTCACTTGCATATTGACAATTCATGTCTTACCTTCCACAAACATGAAAAAGTTGGTTTAATTCAACAACATCATCACAGCTTAACTGAGACTCCTAAAGCAAATCTGGGTTATCATTTGCTTTTAGAGCAAAAAAAGAAAATAGAAAAGATAGAGGAAAATAGAGGAAAAACACCAGCACACAATGCACACATATAAACACATACTTTCTCCTTCTAGAAGAAGTGTAAGTGTTTATATTGCACAGTGTCCTTATTTACACTATTATTGCCCTGCCTTCACCCTGAGTCAGACTCCAGCCCTCCATGACCCTAGTGAGGATTAAGGTGTATAGATGATGGATGCATGGACATTATTATTGCACGGTGGGTGAACTGAACTACTGGGAGCAGCCTGGATTGAACAGTCTGACTGCAGCAGGAAGGAAGGACCTTCAGTATCTCTGCTTTAGACACCGCGGGTGAAGCAGTCTGTCGCTGAAGGAGCTGCCCAGTGATCTTACTGTTCGTCCTCCATGATGGACAAAAGCTTTGTTATCCTCCGTTCTCCCACCACCTCCACATGATCAAGGGGGCAGCTCAGGACAGAGCTGGCTTTCTTAATCAGTTTATTTAGTCTCTTCCTGTCTGCAGCCGTGATGCTGATGCAAAATGTCACTGAAGACACTAACAGAGATTGTACACATGCCTTGAGGATGTTGTAGTAGCAGCCAGATTAATGTTTTACCACCGTCGCCTGTTTAACATCCTGCTGGTCCAGCCGGCGATGATTGTTGAGAGACTGTTGAGTTTTTATTTCATGTTTATGATGTGAGACATAATTTGGCTTTGGCAGGTAAACAATATACGCATTGTTTCAGACATGTTCTGCTTTCACTTGTAATCAGACCACTTCCCTCAGCCCCGTGACTAGACACAATTTCTCCAAACTGATTTCACTTTCACTTACTTTTATTTTTTTATTTTTTTATTTTTACTTATCTTGATCTTATTTATTTTATCTTATCTGTCTTTGTACTTCCTTTTACATTAATGAATGGTGGAAGACTGAGCACTTTTTGTCTCTTGTCTTTTTTTAATGTGTATTTTGTTAAGGACTGCTAAAAACTATCATTTGTTTTTTCAGCAAAACAAATCTATCTAAGGCATGATAATTCACCAACACCAACTCAGCTTGTCTGCAGCTCTTAAAGCAAATCGTGTTTATCATCCATCATCAGCTTGTAGAACAAAAAATAGGTAAATGACATAAAGAACTTTGACATCTGCCTTTGTAGATATCAATAAATACATAATTGTATAATTATAAATAATATATAAAATCCAACAATACAAAATATAGTATATAATAATCATAGATCATTATAATATAATATAGTGTAAATAATAAATCCATATGATAGATAGTTCAGACTATATGATTATAATATACAACATAATATGCACATATTCATGTCATTTCTTGTGCTAAGCTAAATGAGTAGCACTGATGCAGCCTTCGGGTTTTACACTCTAAAATGTAGACAAATTTTAATAAGTTTTGTGCATATTGAGTGAGATACAGCATAAAAGTAAAGATACTTCACTGCTTATGTTAGACATGGGAAAGCAGACCAGCTCACTTTAACATTAAGCTGCAGTTTAGGGGTGTGGCTACAAAAGGAATCTTTTGCTGATTTTTATTTCGGTACATCTACCCATCTAACTCCCCCCCATTTGTAATTAGCATAGATCTGAAGATGATAAAGTCTCCGCTGACCAACCCCAGCGAAATATTCTTATCTTTAAATTCTGATTGGCTGATTTCCGACCGTCCCCAAACGCTCCGTGTAGTTCTCGCGGTTCGTCGCTGCGAGCCCGTCAGTTGGCCTTTCCGAGCGCAGCATCAAGAACATGGCCGACGTGACAGCGGCGGACGAGGAGAAACTCAGCAAAAAGTGAGCTTTTTCATTTCTTCCGCCGCATTTTTGAACGTTACCGGCCTGTCGTGCGCTGTTTCGTCCGCAAATGTGTTGCGCTTTCGGGAGTTGCGACTGTTTCGGTTAGGCTACGCATAGCATCAGGTCAGATGATGAAAGCGACGTGAAAGTCCCATATGGAGGCTGCTCGTAACGCCTACACCTCCCAGGATTCGGCGCGGGCGTCGTCGCCGGGAGTCGTAGTCCGAAACGTGAGCAGACACCGACAACGGTGGCGCGTTTTGACAATTGGTAAAACTACAATTCCCAGAATACCACTCGACGAAATGTCCTTCTTGCATTGGTCTTGTAACCGGGTGATTTCTTTTTTCTAGTGTCAAATATGTGTTTTAATATATGATATATGTAAGTGTGTCATTTTACAAATAGAGAATTTTGTAATTCTATATATTTTTAGTGTATAAAACTGGCAAAACACCCTCTAAATTATGATAATATGTTCGTCCTGACTTGTACTAGCTAGCTGCAATGCTTTGGTAATTGCCACATGTCTCTGCCGGTCTAGCCACGAATGTAAACCTAGTTTGACAATAAATTACCTGCTAGTTTACTGTTGCTTGTATTAGTTTTTTAACTCTTGTGCACCGTCAAAGGTTCTTGGTTAGTTGTAAGTGTTATATTAGAGTTTTCCCAGGCGGACAGAGACAGCCTTGGATGTATATGCTGCACACTGTCTTTGTGTATACTGTATGTCTATTTTCTCAGGTCTGTCTGCTGACTGTGGCAGTCAGTATGCTGTGTCTGGTCAGGGCAGCCAGGCAGCAGCTGTGCCAAGCCTTTGGGGTCGGGGGACAGTGGTTAAAATATACACCCCCATGTACAGCTGCAGCCCCAGCTCAAATTTACGGAATCCGTTGGAGAGGTGACAAAAGGTTGGTGGCTTTTCCATTCCCGTGAGAAAAACAACCAACCTTTTGTCATCATCAGATCAGATGTGGTCCTCCCTCCCCCTTTCTGCATGATTATTTGTTGTGCTTCCCTGTTGCTAATAGATTGTAGGGTGAGGTTGCATTCGAAGTCCTACATCAGTGTGTGATTGTGACATTTGCATCGTTGTTGCATCGTTGTTGCGTCATTGACAGAAAGCTTTAATGTCTAACCTATGATTAATCTTTGACTCCCGCGTTGTTTCTTATCAGTGAGCAGAAGAGACGAATGAAAGCGGAGAAAAAGGCGGCAGAAAAAGAAGCCAAACTCAAAGACCAGGTGGAGCAAAAGAAGGAATCCAATGACCAGGGAGCAGAAAATGCCTCTGCATTGGACGAGGAGACGCTTGACCCAAATGTGAGGTTTTTGTATTATACCCCATTCCTTTACTTGTTAACCTCTCTCTGCTTTGGTCTTTTTTATATTAAACCCATCCTTTGTTTCCCTGTCACATAGCAATACTTCAAGATCCGCACTCAGGCCATCCAGGACCTGAAGGGCACAGCAGAGGACCCGTACCCACACAAGTACCATGTGGACTTGTCGCTTACAGAGTTCATCGAGAAATACAACCACCTACAGCCTGGAGACCAGTTGTCAGATGTTGTTCTCAACGTGACAGGTACCAGGAATGGTTTATGATCTGTGTTTTGTGTGTAATCCAGTAGTAGAGCTCCCGTTAAACCCAATATGTTTGGCAGGTCGCGTCCATGCCAAGAGGGCTTCTGGTGCCAAGTTGATTTTCTATGACTTGCGAGGTGAAGGTGTCAAGTTGCAGGTTATGGCAAACTCAAGGTATTGAATCATTACTATGATCAAAAAACACAACTTGTCCCTGTTTGCTTTACACTTTTACTGATTTTTGAGTCATATTATCTCTTTTTATTGCCACTGAGTTGATTTCTGTTTCCTCTTTTACTCTGTTAGGAGCTACAAGTCTGAGGAGGACTTCACGGCCATCAACAACAAGCTGCGGCGTGGCGACATCATTGGTGTCCGTGGTAACCCGGGAAAGACCAAGAAAGGAGAGTTGAGCATCGTTCCCTCTGAGATGTTCCTGCTGTCGCCCTGTTTGCACATGTTGCCCCACCTCCACTTTGGCCTGAAAGACAAGGTAACGGCCAACCTGCTCTGTTGTGGGCGTTCTTCAGAAAGTGACTTAACAAAGAGCAAGTGTCTTTTAGAATTATATTACAGCCAGCATAAACATACAGGGATCCTCCAAACAAAGCATCTCCACTCATTATATAGAAACTTACCCCGTCTTTGTGCAGGAGCTGCCTTCTTATCTACCTCTCACCTGCTTGTGTGTGTGCAAGGCTGCCACAATCATAAAACCTCTTAAATTTCTTTGAGTTTCATCCACCTGTGAATGGAAATGATTCTCATGATATGTGAAATTATTTCAGAAACCTCAGTGGGTCAGTTTCTCAGAGTGACGTACACTTCATCAGAAGACGGAGCTCTGCTTTGCCCTGATAAGCTGATTTCTTAGAACAGCTACGGCGCAAGTGAAAGTGCAACTAAGAATACAAAAATTTTCCATCTGCTTACACAGGAAGTGAGAGGGAGGGGAGAAGTGAGAGGCTATGGCCCGTTTGTCCACTCGTACTGAAAGTAAATAAATCACTCGTATCTGCAGCTACTGTATTTCTGCATTTATTAGTGTGTTTATCATTTATACTTTCATTTTCATATTAACCAGCCATGGCTGCAAGGTCACAAAGGCAGAACCTCTCAGAGTTCCTCAGTGTTATAAACGAAAGTAATATGACTGTGAATTTGATCACATTAGTGTGTGTTGATGGGAAGAAGACAAATTGTTGATGCAACAGCAGCATTGAAACATTATCTTCACCACTTCCTGTTTTCAAACCAAACACGATGCTGCCAGCGCTACTATCAGATGGATTCCTTGAACAGATGCAAAGCAGAACTGAAGTGAAAGTGCAACTAAAATTTACCATCCGATTCGACTTGAGTAGGTGAGAGGTTCCCACGCTTTTGGCCCCTCTTTCTGAAAGTACCTAAATTGCTTCGCCTCAGGACGTATTTGTTTGTTCCTGCAGTCTTGACAAAACAGGATGCTTTCACTTCAGGCACTTGGGTACAGCAGTTGTACTGATGTGATTAGCCATCTGCAGTTGTTGGTGCTCGGAGACCATCACATTCTTGCATCCCTGTAGAAAATACTTCCACATGGGGAGAGTTTTTTTGTTTTTTTACCTTCCACTCTTTTGCTTAAGAAGTCTGATGGCATCAGCGAGGCACATTTGCATAATCACCAAATGTAGCTTAATACTCATCTTCATATGTTTCTTGAGAGCTGCACTTTCAAACAACTTCACACTCGCCGTGGCGTTCCTCAGCTCTTCAGCAATACATAGAAAAGAGCTGGCGCGTTTGACTCAAAGATCCTTGTAGAGCGTGAAGAGTGCTGACTGAAAACCTCACAAATTAGCAAACGAAACGGTCAGCACTCACAACTGAGTAAGTAATAGAGTAAGAAAGAAACGGGTGCATTTCAGCATCTCTGAGACATTTGTGGGAGTGATTTTTTTATCAAACTAAAACAGTGTCCAGGCTGTAATTTTGACACAAGCTCAAAATCACAACCACAGCATAAGTGAAAGGGAAACTAAGAAGTTTGGTGAGAGGTTCCCACCCAGATGGCCTTGTAGATACAACAGCAGTAACCTTTTCTTCACCGCTGTCCACCGCTTCTTTGTTTTACAGGAAACGCGATACCGCCAGCGCTACCTGGATCTGATTCTCAACGACTACGTGAGACAGAAGTTTATAACTCGGTCCAAAATCATCACATACCTGCGTAACTTCCTGGACCAGATGGGATTTTTGGAGGTACGACGTGCTGTTTGGAACGTATTGAGACCCTGAAGTAAACCACATCAATAAAACAATACATCTAAATACAAATGTATTATTTAATTGTCCTTATATAGAGATTTTGTAAACGAGTATTTTTGTAGTTTGCACATTTTTCCCTTCATTTGAGGCTGTTGGCTGCTTTGCTGAATCATGTTTGTTGCTGCTTCTTTAGATTGAGACGCCAATGATGAACATTATTCCTGGCGGAGCAGTGGCCCGTCCATTTGTCACCTACCACAACGAGCTGGACATGAACCTGTACATGAGGATCGCCCCTGAGCTCTACCACAAGGTCAGTTCCTTCTCGGGAGTCCAATGTCTCAATGATCACCTCCAGCAGGAGTATTAAATAAATTTGTTATCAGTGTTTAATTGAGTCAGTTTCTATTAGAATTTTTGGCTGTGATTTATTTATTTTTTACAGAGAACACAGATGGTTCTTGTACTTTTCTCAAATGTCAAAATGTTCATGCTGTGCTTTGTATCTTTCCTTCAGATGCTTGTGGTCGGCGGGTTAGACAGAGTGTATGAAGTCGGCCGCCAGTTCAGGAACGAGGGCATCGATCTCACTCACAATCCAGAGTTCACCACCTGTGAGTTCTATATGGCATATGCCGATTACCATGACCTGATGGAAATCACAGAGAAGCTGCTCTCAGGTGAGTGAAAACACATAGTCAGCCCTGTTATTGCCTCTGGCTTTGTAGTTATTTGCTTCAAGTGTCATGGACTTGATGGTTTAACTGTAAAATGTCAGGCTGAGCTCCACATGGTGACCACAGAAAGGCTGATTGAAACCCAGTTGTACCATGTAGTGCGAGTTAACGCATAGTATACGTTTAATTATTTTGGTACATTATCTGCCCATGCTGTAGATGATGGACAACAGCTGGTGCACTGCCGTAAAGTTCCAGGAGTTTGTAGACATCAGTTTCATACTAAACCGAATGTTGTCTTCCAAACAGTTAGACGAGGAATTAGGAGAATGTTCTACATACAAATAAAGAGACTAAAACTTAATTTAAAGCCAGAAAAGAGTTAGTAATGAAGTGATCGGCAGGTGTATAGAAAGCTGTCGGCTCTTATGTGTCATTGACGATGGCTCTATAAATACAGGACATTCTTTAAAATATAAATTGGCCAAAGCTTTTTGCTCAGTGTCTCCTCGGTTTTGTTGTTTCTGAGATACTGAGACACATGAAAGGTGTACAGTAAACAAAGAGAGACACTACTCAATTCAACTCGGTGGTTCTCTGTTTGCTTCAGGAATGGTGAAGCACATTACTGGAGGATACAAGGTGACTTATCACCCCGACGGTCCGGAGGGACAGGCCTATGAGATTGACTTCACGCCACCGTTCAAAAGAGTGAGCATGACGCACGACCTGGAGAAAATTATGGGAGTGAAATTCCCTCCTTCTGACAGCTACGACAGTGCCGGTAAGAATCTGGAGAAATGTAGAGATTAACTTTGGCCTCCCCAAAATGATTGTAGCACTTGTTTTTGTCTCTTTTTCCTTTATTTGGCTTTGAGTTGTTGACCATGCACGTCAGATTTTATTAGGTAATATGTATAGGTGTTAATCAACTGTTTTGCGTTCCTCTGTCCTCAGAGACACGTAAGTTCTTTGACGAACTGTGTGCCCAGAAAGGAGTTGAATGTCCTCCACCCAGGACCACTGCTCGCCTCCTCGACAAGGTGCTCTACTGGTGAACAGCGCCATCTGTTGTACACTTTTGTGTTGTTCACTTTTAAAGTACTAATGGCTTTTTTTTCCCCATTGCAGCTGGTTGGAGATTACCTCGAGGTCACGTGTATCAACCCAACATTCATCTGTGATCACCCTCAAATCATGAGCCCTTTGGCAAAATGGTAAGAACAGGCTTGTTTTGCCTTCCTGGTTATTTAATAATGCAAAGCTCAGGTTGGCACTGACACTGCCTCTGTTGTTCCAGGCACAGATCGCAGAAAGGCCTCACGGAGCGTTTTGAGCTCTTTGTGATGAAGAAGGAAATCTGCAACGCGTACACCGAGTTGAATGATCCGATTAGACAGAGGGAGCTTTTTGAGCAGCAAGCCAAGGTGTGTTTAAAGACTGACTTGTGTTTTCCCCTCCACCTTACTGCGTTGTCCGAAGGTTCCCCCAATGCTGTTACAGTGAATATATTAGAGCATGTATGTCTGTGGATGTGTTTACAGGCCAAGGCTGAGGGTGACGATGAGGCCATGTTCATCGATGAGACCTTCTGCACCGCCCTGGAGTACGGCCTGCCACCGACCGCCGGCTGGGGGATGGGCATCGACCGCCTCACCATGTTCCTCACTGACTCCAACAACATTAAGGTACAGATGCTGCAGATCATAATGCAAGCAATTTTCAGGACGATGGAAGCACAAAGGTTTCAGTGGCCAATAAGAAAATTACCGTAATTTTCGGACTATTGAGCGCACCTGAATTTAAGCCGCACCCACTAACTTTAAAAAGAAAAACAAAATTGTACATAAATAGGCCGCACTTGTCTATAAGCCGCAGGTGTCCACGTTGTAACATACATAGACACCAATACATACACAAATACTGTAAACGCTTTTTTCCCCCAACAGTGCCTGTAACACGGCTGGTTAAGAAAATAAAAACTACAGCAGCCTATCAGGAAAAGGCATTGATCGCTATCTTCCTCTTCTTCCTGAAACCACTAAAGCAGGGGTGTCCAATCCTGGTCCTCGAGGGCCACAATCCTGCATGCTTTAGATGTTTCTCTCTTCCAACACACCTGATTCAAATGATCAGCTCATCATCAAGCTCTGCAGAAGCCTGATAACGATCCTGATCGTTTGAATAAGGTGTGTTGGAAGAAGGAAACATCTAAAACTTGCAGGATTGCAGCCCTCGAGGACCGGAGTTCGACACCCCTGCACTAAAGTCTCGAGTCTTGATTTGAACAGCCTCAGAATGACTTCGTCACACACTTCTTCAGTCTCTCTTTCGTCGTCGCTCTCAACGTTTCGTCTCGAGGCAAATTCGTTAAAATCCACAAATTAGCTGCATCATTGTTTCAGGCGTAGTGAAAAAAGTAGGGGCTTATAGTCTGGAAATTACGGTAAATTGGATTTTTCCATCATCCGCCAGACAGACGTGGTCTCCATTTATGTTAATGTAAAAGGAAAAAAAAAAAAAGCATCCGCTGACAGACTTGTTGTTTCACAGGAGGTGCTGCTGTTCCCAGCCATGAAGCCTGATGACAAGAAGACAGCAGCGCCCACAGATGGCACCTCCGTCTAATGGCGTGACCTCTGACCACTCCTGCCGTCGCATCTCTGCAGGAGCCTTTACCTCACTGGTCATCAGTCGAGTCTGCGGGTTTTGTGTTTTATCGGTGTTGGTGTGTCAGGTGTTCGGTCATTACTGCCATTAAGGGAAATCATCTTGTTTCTGTGACGCGGCTGACGGGTGAACGGCGGTGAATGCTTTGTTTTTTTTCCATTTGTTTTTTCTTACCCTTTTTCGATCATATTTGCTGCATCCTCTTTATTTCACTGTAAGGGGACATTTTAATCCACTTTTATCATCCAGACGGTGAAGGGATGGTATTTGATGATCAGGATGTCATTTGTTCTGCTGTTGAATACAGACTTGGATAAAGTACTGATGAATATACTTGAAGGGATGCTAGATTCTATCAACCAAATATGCACCATGAAATGACAAAGTTCAAGCCCCTCTAGTGTGTGTTCTCAGTATGTTCATCTGTTTTTACCAAGTCTGCAAGTATTCCTTCTCTTAAAATTTTACAAGATGGATTCCACAAATTCAATATTTCTCTGCCAAGAAGTTTAAATAAACTGCATATAAATCGACCTTGGTCGTTGTCTTGTGATGTTTATGGAAAAAGGTACGCTGATCTTAAACGCCTGAAAGATGGGATATTTATTTTTAGATCTAGGAAGTGATGCGTCTCATTTTGATTTTGGGTTTCCTCGACAGTTTAACGTGCAGCATGAGGTAAGTTTTGGTGGTTTAGATTAATTTCTAGGACTGCAAGGTGGCTCGGTGGTTAGCACCGTTGCCTCGCAACTAGAAGGTCGCCGGTTCACGTCCCGGTGAGGACACCTGGGATCTTTCTCTGTGGAGTCTCCATGTTCCTGTGCAGCGTGGGTTCTCTCCCTCTCTGGGTTCTCCAGCTTCCTCCCACAGTCCAGAAACATGCTGAGGTTAATTGGTGATTGTAAATTGTCCGTAGGTGTGAATGTGTGTGTGCTTGGTTGTCTGTCTCTAAGTGTAGCCCTGTGATAGACTGGCTACCTGTCCAGGTGTCCCCTGCCTTCAGCTGGGATAGACTCCAGCCCCCCACAAGCCTAGTGAGGATTAAGCGGTGTATAGATAATGGATGGATTAATTTCTAAATGTACAATGCAGATCCTTTTGTCTGGTGTATAATGTATATTTTGAGCCATCACTGAGATCCTTTAATTGGGGTTTTAAGTTCGTAGGTCGTCCGTGGAGATGCATGAAGATTATATGATGCTTTCCTGATGCTGTGAATACAATTCTCTTTGATTGTTTGCTGGATAAGTAGCTTTGTATCTGTATTAATTTATGCAAGAAAAACTAAACAGAAAATGACAAACATATGTGCCAGATATTTTTTCATTTGATAAAATGACAAAGAAGTCCTCAGAATTAACCATTTGTTAAATATCTTATATATAACCTTTAGTAAAAGGTTAAGTGATGCTACAAGATAAAATGAAAGACGATGTATTTCCTGAAAAACAGCCAATCCACTAGAAAACAACCGTGGATTCACTATTAAAGATTCCTGTGCTACAGTAACATCACTCCACACAAAACAATAGCAACGCAGCCAAGGCCAGTACAGCGTCTACTGGTGCAAGTTTTCTCAAATCAGGGACTGTGAGTCAGTGTTTAAATGGAAGTATGTGAAGATGTTATGTGCAAAAGTAAAGAAAAGAAGTTTTTGCATTCTGGATAAGCACCACCACCTCATGGTGATGGTTTTTCTGGTGTTGGATTGTGTACAAGTTTGTATCTTGACCTTTTAAAAACTCCTTAACGAGCTCTGATGGATGATTATTTCACCAGAGCTCCACGTCTGGTCAGATGTCAGAGTTGAGATGACAAAGCTGTTCCTGTTTGTGACTATCGCTGCCGCCTTTAACGTGTTTGTGTCACTTTAGGCCATCCTCATACTTGGTATCATTTTGGAAGAAATCCAAACTGCTCAAACGTTTCCTCCTTCAAACTGGCAGAGCAGCTGTCTCTCCTCATCACTGGGTTCTTGGGTCGGAGTGAACTCACCTGCAGGTTCTGCTTTGTAGGTAGCTAGGACGGCCTCGATGATGTGTTGACAGATGATACATAGAATTTCGGCTCCGCACAGCAGGAAAGGTGCAGCTGTAATTCATAAATTGCAAATAAAGCATTAAAAAAACCAACTGCATTCCATTTAGGTGAGCTTGCTGAAGGATGCAGTCTTGCTCTCTATCATTAAACCTTCTGTGACAGTTGATGTAACTGAACCATCGCCAACAAAGCTCGCCACACCTGTGGTTTTCCTGCTGTGACTAAAAGCAATGCTGTGAAAAAGTGCTTATGTTTTACATGCAAAAGATTGCTGCAAATTAATGCACATTTGTAGATGTAATGATCAAACTGCCTACTAGTAGAAAGAACTTCTACTCTCCTCTCTGTTATGCCTTTACATATATAAAGTAGGGGATCAGTGGATAGCATCGTTGCCTCGCAGCAAGAAGGTCGCCGGTTCGCGTCCCGGTGAGGACACCCGGGATCTTTCTCCATGTTCTCCCCGTGCAGCGTGGGTTCTCTCCCTCTCTGGGTTCTCCGGCTTCCTCCAACAGTCCAGAAACATGCTGAGGTTAATTGGTGATTGTAAATTGTCCGTAGGTGTGAATGTGAGTGTGCTTGGTTGTCTGTCTCTAAGTGTAGCCCTGTGATAGACTGGTTACCTGTCCAGGTGAACCTGCCTTCACCCTGAGTCAGCTGGGATAGACTCCAGACCCCTGATTAAGGTGTATAGATGATGGATGGATGGTTCAGGCTTCTGACTAGGATGTAGACCCAGAACTTGCTGGTGGGGTTACACATCTCATCTCACCTGGGAACTGCTCCAGACTCACAAGAGGAGCTGGAAAATGTTTCTGGGATGAACCTGTTGCCACCACAACAAGCTGACTCCGCTCGACCAACAAAAACCTCCTGATCCAACCACCACAACAGGCCTGAGGTCTATAGCTGGCCTCTTCTCCTCTGCGGTTCCCCGGTGGTGGAACGAGTTACCAAACTCTGTTCAATCTCCTGACTCCCTCTCAGACTAAAGAGCAGCTCTTCACTGAACACCTTTGCACTTGACAGACTGAAAGCAAACAAATAAAAACATCCCATCACCTCCCTACAGCCTGCTGTTGGCATCAACGCCCTATCATGGCTCTTATCCAGATTGTTTTCTCCTGACCACATCCTTGCTTGTGTTGTATCTGCTCTCAGGTGTACGTCACTTTGGATAAAAGCATCTGCTAAATGAAATTGTAGAATTGTGGACTCCAATCAGGGAAGAAAATAGAGAAAAAAATTAATACATAATATAGTTGACAATAAATAAGATAAGGAAAAATATTATTATCATCACGACAAATAGATTATTATCATCATCATCACTATTATTGTTATTACTATCATTATTATTATTATTATTGTTATTAAATAAAGCTATCTCTGCTGCATAGAACAAACAAAACATAAAAACAAACCTCACGTGCTGTGCAGCTTTATTTACTTTTACCGGTTGCATGTTCGCACCGTGTGTAAAACTTTCTGACTCGTCAGACCTGCTCGTGAACCCGATTCACCTCCTCCCCCTTCCTCCCCTTCCTCCTCTTCCTCCTCCTCCTCCCACACGCTCCCGTCGGGATGGTGCGCGCTCCCGCGGTCAAGTGTATGTGCACTGGGGTGAAGCGGCGGGTACACAGCGAGTGAAGATGGCGATGAGAGCGGCGGTGCGGTGCCTCTCTGCGGCCAACTTTTCATCCAGGCTCCCGCAGCTCTCGTCCGCAGCGCAGCTTTCGGCGACTCGGCTGCTGTGGAGGAGCGGCTCTCCGCGGACACTGAGCTCGACCTCGGCCCTGTCCACAGGTAAATAACAGCCTGATAATAAATAATAATAACAACACGAAGGAGCTGTGGTGGTGGTGGTGGTGGTGCTCAGTGCATGCGGGGCTGCTCACACATTCCTGTCTGACTGTAATGGACGAGAAAAAAAAAAAAACAGCACAGTGTCACTTTCCCACAGCGAGCAAAGCGACACGGAGGGCATGCACAAGTTTGTTTTTTTACTTGGAGTCGGTTGTCAAAGTAGAAAAACTGAGATTTGTAGCTGCCACATGTTAGTCTGGCTAAAGTGCACAACAGGAGGACGGTCCGGCCACGAGCTCCGAACTAATTACCTCCGTCTCGTGCAGCAAGAAGCAGCTCATTAAGCAGAAGTGACCGAAAATTAAATTATGTCCTCCCAGCTTCCATGTCCTCCCTCTGTGGAATATTACAGCTTTAAACCATGTGGATATGTGTGTTTTAAAGCTGTAGAATAGTGAGAATAAACATGTCATTCAGCTCCCAGGACTGACTCTGAGCCCGGGTCATGCATCAGCATCTCACACAGTCACAATCTGGTTCAAACCTGTATTTCTCTGCATGGTCATGATGCCAACTTTGTAAATTGTTGAGGCATTACTGTTTCTCCCTGGGGGCTGTTGCAGTGATGACAGCATGAGTCTGGCACCCAAAGGCTTTAACTCCTGATGTTGTAATTGCAGATTTTTTATTTTTTTGTTTGCACCAATGATGACCTGCAGAAAAGCTGTTAAGATTCTACATTATAAAGGCACGGTGTTGCACAAGTAACAGCACAGTGTTTAGCTCTGGTCCATAGTGCAGCTCTTTGTTCTGTCGTGCTTTGAGACAAGACTGCAGCACATGTAGCTCGTAAGATTCATCACAGTTGTTCCTTCACAATTCTTTCTGATTCATGTTCTCACATATTAATTACACCGTCTGTCCCACACTAACTCGTTCCTTCACTCCCTCCATAGCCCTAAAGTTCACAGACAAGCACGAGTGGGTGCAGGTGGAGGGCGGAATCGGCACCGTTGGTATCAGCAGTTACGCTCAGGTAGGTGGTCGGGTCAGTCTGTCTCCTAGAGTTGTGACACGCTCGGTTCCGAGGTTTGCTGATGACTATCTAAAAATAGTGATATGTGAATGGCTGTGGTGTGCACTTCGGCACTGCACTTTGCCCTCAGTGGCTGCACTAAACCAGGCCGATTTACTGTTTTATGACTATTGTCTGAAACAATTGATCACTCGCCTGGCTGCAGATATGTGCAGAAAAAGTCAAGTTTGGACAATAAATCATTCAGTGAAGGGGGGAGTGTTTTATCTACAACTTGAATGCAGCTATTAGAGAAATGATTATTACTGCTATTGATAGTGGGCACCACTCAGGTTTGTCACACACTCCCCGTGCAGATGATTTTATCTCTGCTGCTGAGCCTTCAAAAGGGGTACGTTTTGTGGTTTAATATGTGAACTCGGTCTGCTTGTGTCTAAAAGGACAGCGCAGAGAAAAGAATTCGTGAAACAATCGTCGTCTGTCTTTTTATCCAAGACCTCTAAATTATCTCACACCTCCAGGATTCTCAGCAAATACCAGCGTTTCCTGCGCAGATATTCATTAACCCCCGTATCACTGCTTCACAAAGAAATGCTGATAAATTGTGGATGTAATTATTAGCGCTGCTGACCAAAGTGTGGACTTTATCAACATCTGCCTGTACTGTACTTCATCTGGACTTTGAGCAAACCTCTGATCCTCAGCATCTTGGAAATGTGGACTTTAAGTTGTTTCCCTCCGAGGTGAAGATACAAACATGTTTATTTAAGAAAGCCTTCAGTATTCCTCTGGTTCCCTTAAACCCCTTAAATAGTTTTAATTTTCCATAACTACAGAAAGAGGAAGGCCTAGTTCATGGGCAGGAGCAGTGATGGCAACGCCTTGACCTTTAAATGTGCAAATATCCTTCAAATTAAGAGTTAAAATCCAGGTTAAGTCTGTAAAAGAGCTCTCTTTATTGCTGCTGTGTGCATTCATTCTTAATACATGTATGTACGGCAGCACTTAAGGTGGTTTGGATGAGTGTTGACCTCTTTCCTCAAAACAATTCAGGGTCTAGAGATAGTTTATCTCAGACTGCTCCTTGTCGAAAGCCAGAAATGTGTGAAGTTTTCTGCAGTAAAGGGAACGTTTTGTCTGTCGTTGTTTCCTCTGGAGCATTAAATGTCCTGCTGGTTTAGTAATGTGCAGGTTTAATCAGAGCATAGGTGTTGGTCATGCTAATGTGCACGCAGCGAATCATCTGTTTTCTTTATCAGACTAAGTTTTGTTTCTGCAAAGTGTAAATGAGATCCCCAAACATCAGTCTAGCTTCCTACACACTGAGTAAGAAGGCATGTGTAGAGCACTGTACTCCAGCCACCATATCTGAGCCTCGGAAGTTTTTAAATTCTAAAAATTATTTTACCTTCTGGCTGTTTTTGTTAGATAACTGAAGTGTAACTCCAGCCAATTTCTACCATCCTGTGTCGAATGTTCTTTGTTTTAAGAGAAGGAAAAACCCTGACATTGTGGTTTTTAAATCACTTTCCAGCTCGTGTATGAATGAGCAGGAGATGGTATCAGATCCTGGTCGAGTCTTGTGTCATATCAGTGAGGCTGGCTGTGATTGGTAGTGAGGAGCATAATGTGCATTACCCGCTGGCTGCGGTTGCATTTTAGATATTTTAAAGAGTTTCTGTGACGATCTGTCTTCAGTGATGGGAACAGGTTCTAAAATGTCCTCCTCAGATGTGATTCAATTCAATTCAATTTTATTTGTATAGCGCATATTTACAACAACAGTCATCTCATAGCGCTGTGATGCTGGATCGGTCTGGTCAAATCATACAGTGACAAATTTCACAAAAAGTGCAAAATTAAAGGATTTAAAACACATCTCAAGGGGCGACGTGTCCTGAACAGCGGCAGGAAAACATTCACTACATGTACTGTCCCCACAACTTCCTGTCTCCCTCCACTGTCCATAAATACATGAGTTATTATTGCATTACTGTGAGCAGTTTGTAAAGATGTTTTCAGTAACTGCTGGGACAGACTAATGAGTCCATGCAGTTTGTTGATTCTGGAGACATTATTGGTTTAAATAAGACTCTTTGCATAACGCAGTCTGTTGCATGGTTTTAGGAAGCGCTAGGTGACGTGGTATACTGTGGACTCCCTGAAGTTGGCCAAAGACTTGAACAGATGGGTAAGAGCCTTGACTAGACTGCACATTTAGGACATAATTGTTGTGAGCAGTGCGGTGAGAACTGTCTGTTGTGTGTCTGCTGTAGAGGAGTTTGGTGCCTTGGAAAGCGTGAAGGCTGCCAGTGAGCTATACTCGCCGCTGACAGGAGAAGTGACTGAAATCAACACAGAGCTGGCGGAAAATCCTGGACTTGTGAACAAAGATTGCTATGCACAGGGTAAGTGTCTCGCACTCACTTTTGTTCCTCGCCATTTCCAAGAGTCTCTCTCGGTAGATTTCTCGCCAGGGCGGATGACAAAGTGCCAATCATGTCGCGGCTTGTTTATAAAACCAGCGCACGTTTAATTTGTCCAACTCTCACCTTTCAGGATGGCTAATCAAGATGACCATCGAAAAGCCAGAAGAACTCGAAAGCCTCATGGATCAAGCCGGATACGATAAATTTATTAAGTCACTTGAAGAATAAATCCATAACCTCACTGTGCTGGTTTGTAATGTGATTACGATCAAAGATTAGTAGGCAGGGTTACTAACACATCTTCATATGTCGTATTTATTTTGATACCGGGGTTTTGCTATCAAAATAATTTTAAATACTCTGTAACGACTTCTACTTTAGAAGGTTAGGACTTGTTTAGACGCTAGCGCAGCTAAAAGGGCTCTTAATCTCAAGATCTGTCAGTATGACTGCGTCGTCTTTTAAATACGAGCAGATGTGGTGAAAAGACTGGAAAGGGCTGTGTCAGATTCATTTAATAAAATGTGGTCTTTAAGTTGATGCTCCTGTGATTATTTTTTTTAAATACCATCCAAACTTGGAAGATCCATTCCTGGAAAGAGCAATAAATAATCAGGAGTGTGTTGCAATGATGGTTTGTGGAACCAGTTCACACACCAACAATAACAACTTTACCGCTAATAAAAAACAAAGGCGTATTCATTTTGTAATGTTCCTCAGAAAGATGTGTTCAGATTGTGTGTGTGCTGACAGGACGCGCTGGTTTTTGCTTATTACAGTTCTGCACACCTTGACCTTTGCCCTCAGGTGAAGATAGACCCAGATTGCAGAGGCGACCTGATCAATGATTAATACGTTAGGGGTTTGAAAATCAGCAACTGAACAGGAACACCGCGCTCTCAGGCTGATAGGGGGGAAAATAAAAGCTGTGATTGGGATTCCTGGCTGGACTTCTAGTTCTTTAAATCATCAAAACAGTTTGTATAATGACATTTTAAATTTACTTTATGTTCAAATGTCCTCACAATCACTTCCCCTCAAAGGAAGTTTGACTCACCTTACAAATCTCTGCAGTGAGAAACGCGTGAGAGCCATTTTATTTCTTTTGAACGCTGCGTGTCTTTTCAGTCCCTTTGTTGTTCTAGTGGGAGACACGCCCACTCAGGAAGCAGACAAGCTCGAGCAGGGTCAAAAGAGTGCAAACAAAACTTTCTAAAATGTATTCATGTGCGATTAGATGAGATTAAATTTGGAAGAAACAAATAATTCGAGTCATTCGTGAGGACTACTGGCTGCTTCAGTGCTTGTGTGTGCACTCTGCAGTCTTTGTGAATGGCTTGTGAGCAGTCAGGTAACTCCTGTCTGAAGAAAAACCTGTAGCGCTTGGATCAAAGACCTGCACAGCTCTACTGTATAATTATTGTGCTGTTGATTTTGTGTGGTCACAGCACACCCAGATGCTTGTTTTCCTGTGTGGATGCTAACGTTAATGAGTTCTAGGCCCAGTAGTGTTAACCCCTTACAGGGCACTCCTTCAAATACTTGGAAAATTTCAACCCTAGGGTGTTAATGATGGATATTTCAAGATAATTTTACTTTGGTGACTTTAAAAAAAAAAAAGTTGTAAATCAAGATTAGTAAAGGTACCATATGTGGTAACTTGCTCATCTAAGAAAAAAAAGGAAATTTATAATAAATAACAGAAAAAGTAACAAACATTTATTTGAAAACATTTCAGTTTGAGGTAATGATACTTACACAGCCGCTAACGAAGTATTTATGAAGTGCTTGGCAAGTTCATTTAGTCACATTTGTCTTGGGGTAATCGTTGTGGCACTGTAGAAGCCAATAACGTAATAACCAGCCAATAACATAATAAAAGTTCTGAAACGATAACACAATATTTTTTGGCCAAATGTTATGAACCGATAGCACAATATCTTTTACCTAATATCTTTTGTCCAATAACATAATAAGTTATCACATTGTTGGCCAAACATTATTAGGTTATCGGTTCAGGACTTTTATTACGTTATTGGCCTATTATATTTTAAAAAGTGCAAATTTATCTCGTTATTGGCCGTTGTTATGTTATTGGCTTCTACAGGCACTGATCTAAATCAAACTGGAGTTCAGTGCAAACCAGTAACAAAGCGTTTATAAAGTACCTGCAACATTTGTTTAGTGACATTTTTCATAAAGTCATGATATTGGCACTAATATAAAAACTAAATTAAACTAAATCAAAGTGCACATGGTTCTTCAACCGCAAGCAGCGGCACAGGGCGGACATATTGAACGCCCAAGGAAGTTACCAAATATGGTCACCTGCCCCATAAAAGGTAAAAGGACTCCCAAGAAAGTAGCAGAAATAACATGTAAGAAAATTAGAAATGAGGATGGACTTCAGCACAGTTTCATATGTGAAGTTCAAAGTATGGTCCTGACTGTAACCTCTGACTCGCTTAACAAGAAATAATAACAGCAGGCACATCAAATAGAGCTTAGCTTAGCTTAGCTTAGGGGCCTGCTGAGCCCGATGGCTGGTGAACCGTTACGTTAATTAATCAGCGATCTATTGCAGTTGTTTGGTGACAGCATCTATTTACAGGACTGCCATATCCTACTTCCATCGAGCAGTTGCCAATAGATGCTAGTTAAATTAAATAAAGCAGTTCATGGTACTAGTTGAAGCCTGTGTACTGTAATAATACCAACTTACAGGTACGGCTCAAAAAATAGAATATTGTGAAAAAGGGTTTTTTTGCTTTTTTAAAAAAAAAAGCAATTTCGTTAAAAAAAAAGGTAAACATAAATATTTTATGCATTCATTACACATAAAATAAAAATATTTCAAGGCCCTTTTTTGTCTTAATGTTGATAGTTATGGCTTAAAGCTCATGAAAATAGGAAAACCAGTGTCTCGAAATATTAGAATATGTCATTTCAAGTATAAGTAAGTTACTATTCAAACAGTATAAATACTGTCTATCTCTCAGTCTAGTTCAGAACACACAACCACAATCATAGAGAAGACTGCTGACTTGAAAGTTGTTCAGAAGACAATCACTGACGACCTCCACGAGGAGTTTAGGCCACAGAAGGTCATTGCTGGCTGGCTGTTCGCAGCTTTGGTTCGTTTCTCAGATCAGAATTGAAATTCTCAAAACGACTTGTTCAATCTTCACATCATTGTGTCACTTGTGCACATCAAAAAAGCAGCTTTTCATTTCTTTGAACAAGTTCTAAATGCTTTGGTACATCCATGCAAATGATTACGTGCAGTTCTCTGCTGTTTCCTACATTATCAATTGCTTCCGTCATGTTGATCAAAATATATTATAATGGGTCTCTGTTGAATCATCTCACCTCCCACAACATTTAGGCACTAGTTCATCGTGTAAGTCTTTACATGCAAAACGGTTGAACAAGTTGTCAGAATATGTCGAGCATATTTCCTTTAGACTTTATTTCTAAGTCTGTCCTGAATTGGTAAGGTGCTCTCAGGTGAATCTTGATTTTCTCTAATGAAGGGAAATGTGTGCAGCATCACACAGATCAACCAATGATCAACCAGTTTTCTGAAATAGCTCAAAGGTGCATCTTATGAACCATCAACTAGCCAGTATAGAGGAAGACTGCTCTGTAACTCCGACAACACTGCATGTACAAGTTTCCCTAAAGAGGCTGTCCTATGTTCACATTTCTACTTTAGTTTTTTTCTTTGTGCTGTGCAGTGCTGTCTGTTCCTCTCGCAATGACATGGTCTGTCAAAAAACTACAGTACAAACAGTAAATGTGAATCTGGTCCACTCTCTTGCAATCAGTCTCCCACACACACGAAGGTGTAACTCACAATTAACAATAATTGTAATTAAAACTTTAGCCATAGTTTGCATCAGAACATCCCTCCAGAGTCCACTCCACAATCTGTATTATACCCTGTAGGGATGTTGGCTTTTTCTTCGTCTGTTTCTTTCCTCTCATTAATTTGTAGGTTAACCCAAACTGGTGGGTTTGGTGAAGGAGACGATGCGTTTTTAGAATCTTGCCTGATGCTGCTGGCTCCTGACGCCGTGGTCCAGTTTGTTTTTCTTCAGCTCTCTTCTGAGGATGTAGTGGAATAGGAGGGCTTTCTTGATTTTTGGATTCCTAATTTTGCTTCGTCTTTGTTCTTCGCCATTTTTATTTGCTTGTGTTTGCTTTGTTACCGTCTCAAGCTTCTCTTTCAAAGCTTTTATTTTTTCTTGAATGCCTTTTTCTCGTTTTTCTTCTCTCCTTTTCCTGCCTGAGAGACTGTCTGCTGTGTCCGGCTTTGCATTCTTGAGTATTTTGATCTTGCGGACTATCTGGAGGGGTTTCTGCCTCTAGCACTACAGTTTCTTTGGGTCTTTTCTGTGCCTCCCTCCAGTGCCTTCGTTGGTTCCTCGTTGCCCTTTCTCCCATCTTGCCTATCTGTAATACTTTTTTGTCTTTAACTCTCTTCTTCCACCTTTGTCTTTCCTACTCTTGCGTGCCATGTTTGCTCTCTGGGTCACTGTTTCATTTTTCTCTTCTCTTTCTTTGGTTCTTCTCCTTTGATCCTCAACTGACAGTTTCTGTCTAGCCATGCTTTCCGACAATACAAACTGTAGTAATGAAAAATGTATACGAATAAGACTATGGAATCAGATTTCCATTTACTGGACATGATTGATTGATTGATTGACTGATGTAAAATACTAAAGGGGCAGTGTGTAGTTTTTGGTGACATCTAGTGGTGAAGATAAATGTAATGGATTTGGCAGAAATGAAATATAGCCTAATATTTATAAACAAGTTCCAGTATAATTTCATGAAAATAAGAAATGCTGCATTTTCTGGACAGTAGAATTTATGCTTTATATATACCTAGAAATGGGTCGATCTACAGACGCTGCCATCCAGTGTAATATTCAGTTTCACAAGTGACACAATAATAAGTAGACCAAAGCCTGAACATGCTCTACAAGTTACAAGTGTAGGTTATACAGGGTGGTTAAATAATGTAACTCATGCTATATATGTACATCTATGTCTAAATAAAACCCTGAAATAACATTAAATCCTACTAAGTTCACAAATAATATTATACCAGCACAATAAGAGGTTATAGGTGGATTTGTAAACTCCATCAGCTTACACGTCAACTCCGTAAGACAAGGAAACTGATGGAGTTGACATAAGGGCGAGCCAGTTTGGTCTCCATAACCTCACTAAAATGTTTAAATTCAATCCACTATGGTTAAAAAAAAAAACTTAAAGTAGAGCACGTGTGGTAATGTTGCATTCAGCACAGCCAGGAAGACAAACAGAGGTCCTCAGGGATATGCTGACCATGATGTTGCCTGATTTAATGAGGTTTATGAAAAAATCTGATGGAGCTGACTGAAACTGAGGACACAACTTTGATAGGCAGCTTTTTATAGAAAATATTTATAACACATACATACATATACATATTTATAACCCTTCTATTTAATTTATGTATTCACAATTTTAGAGTTTTTTAAAAAT